CGCGGGTTCAAATCTACGGGTTGACATCCATACTGTACACAGGTAAGTTGGGGAACTAGGGATCGAGCCCTGGGATCTGTCTCAACTACCACGAATTGGTGAATACCGTTTCACAACCAAAAACTTTCCTCGTCCCCTTCCCTCGTCAACTCTTTTGACCCTTTCCAGATGCATTCATGCACAGAAAAGGTTTACAATAAAATAAAAAACCTTCCTGTCCAATGAAAGGAGTGAGAGGGGGGGAACTAACACCAAATTGCCTCTAAACGAATTAACAGGTATACTCATTCACACCCTCGCTGCTCCAGCTACCTGCTCCCTGGAAGCAGGAGCAGCTCACTTCACTCGCCAGCTCCATGGACTTATAGCTTCTGAAGCTACCAACCGCGCACAGCTACCTGACAGATTTACTTGCCCCATTAACCCTGGTCCCTGGCCACTAAGCTCCATCCGTCTCCAGAACCACGGCGGCTACAAGACACCGTTACCTCATACCTGACACCGTTACCTGGCAGCGTTACCTGGTACCTGACTCAATTACCTGACACCGTTAACCGGCACCACTAACTGGCACCGTTAACTGGTACCATTACGTGGCACCTGACACCGTTACCTGGCAGCGTTCCCTGGTACCTGACAGGCACCACTAACTGACACCGTTAACTGGTACCGTTACCTGGCAGCGTTACCTGGTACCTGACACAATTACCTGACACGGTTATCCGGCACCACTAACTGGCACCGTTAACTGGTACCGTTACCTGGCACCGTTTGTGTCGGGTCAGGGCCCTGGCCATGCCAGGCATAGGGCCCCTACACATTTCATGGGAGGCCAAGGCTGTAGCTTTACCCTTTCCATCTTTTGGGCCTACGGCCCTGCGGGTAGTGTTTTTTTTTTTTTTTTTAATTTGGACCATTTCTCGATTTACGCGTGTCATCTGTGAGCAGGGGCCATGTTAATCTTCTCTTTCTCTGTATCGTTCCAATCCTTTTAACGGATGTCCCGAAGGACCTCGGGTAGTTTTGGACTCCTCGTTGTTACTATTTTTCTTTTGCACACCTTCGATTCTCCAGTATCTGGATTGCGAAATGTTGATTCGATCACTCCAATGTTGATTCTATCAATGCATTCTGCAATATCCGCGCCAAACACATATTTGGCTCGCCAGAGCTTCCATGGCATCTTGACAACTGTGTCCTGGGTCGGAGATCTTCCAAGGGTCCAGTGGTCTCCTTTCCCGACAGGCTATGGTCCCCGGAATAAGTTTGTCATTCCAGATGTCTTTCATGCATAATCCACGCATGAAATAACTTGTGTCCGCCTCGTCGCGGGCATCTGCAGCATCCCACTTGGGTCCGCCAAAGTAGGCAATTCATTTCATTCAGTAACTTGCACGGTCGCTTTTTGTTTTTAGCAATTTAGTTCGGTTTTTTTTTTCTTTTTTTTTCGCACTTTAGTTCGGTTTTGAAGAGAGGTTGTCCTCTCTGATGTTGTCCGTACTCACTCAGAAACTACGGTCTTCGCCCGAATAGAACACCCGGTCATTATCGCTGCATCTGGACTGAAAGTTGGGCCAAATGCAGCTATAATGCCCGGGCGTTCTATTCGGGTGAAGACAGTAGTTTTGTCTTGGTGTGCGCCTTTGTGGGACGGCTGTTGAGAGAGAGTCTGTTCCTATAGTAGTCTTTCGAACCTTCTTTTCTTGGTGTGCCCCTTCATGAGAGGGCTATTTTCATCCTGTGTGATGGTTGAGGTAACTCTCCGCACAAGGAGACTTTCTTTGTCCACATCTGAATGCTTCAGACATCAGCCAGAGGACGTGGGTGGGATCCAGGCCACCGATTCAGGTCCAGACCGTGGGACCTGGACCTCATGGCTAGGTAGGCTCCTCCATCCTGGACTTGTAGTTCACAAGTAGATCTACCGGGCCCAAGATGAAGGCCATCCCCAGGCCAGGACAAGGACATTCAGTGATTCACTTCTGGACTGGGTAGGCTGTCAGGATGCTGGAGCTGGACTGGAGTAGGTGTAGGAGGAGAGGTTGAGTGTTGGGGGTGTAGTAGCGCCATTGACAATCTGCAAGGGTGAAAGATGGTACCTGCCTGCTGGTGCCATAGCTGGAGCTCCAGGTTGGAGCCGCACTGTGACCCATTACCTGCCAGACTTCAGCGGCTCAGGTACCACCTTTTGGCTCCCTTGTAATAATAATTATAATAATTCACAGAGAGAGAGAGAGACAGACAGACAGACAGACAGAGAAATTGTGCATTCTTATTATTATAATTAATATTACAAGGGTACCTGTTGCAGCTTCGCACACAACAAAAAAAAATTAAAAAAATTAGGAGACAGGGAGAGAGGGGGGGGTAGTTCTTGTTTTGAGGCTGTGTACCTTTGCTATGTTTCCGAGAATATTTGTGATCAACCAATGTTTTCTGGATGGCGTGTGGTTGCCTTCTCTCTCTCTCTCTCTCTCTCTCTCTCTCTCTCTCTCTCTCTCTCTCTCTCTCTCTCTCTCTCTCTCTCTCTCTCTCTC